CTACCTTGACTCTTTCACTTTTAAATTTTACATCCGATTAATTAGAGCTGCAGATCTGAGCATGCGCGACCACACCCAAATTTTGGAGCACATGCTTCTTTAATTACCAAAATGGCGGCATGTAGCTAAGATGGTATAATCCAGCAGTCATAGTATCACTTTTTCCTTTCTTGAAGATTGGTTTGATGGGACATGGACCTGCGCATAGACTTTTGGAGTAGATTGGTGTAAGAATTATCCTTGCAGCATCAACTAATACCAAGATACACACCGACAACTGGATTGACAGGACTTGATGATGATGATGATGAAGATGATGATGAAGATGAAAAAAGGTGGCTGAACAAAACGGCCGGTTCGCCGATTTTTGAATTTCCTCTTATACAGGGCCTAGAGCCACGCTAGTGGTACCAATGGAGTCCTCTGGTCAAGATAAGGTCCTCTATAAAGTCTGGTAAGCATAGGAGCTCGTTTTCCCGGTATAGCAAGGCTGCAAAAGTCGTGGCAGCCATTTTGTTAGGGGGTGAATCCTACTTAGTAACGCTACCGCGTTACTAATAGCCTTGGGTAATTTCAGAATTTTGGCATTTTCTTATTTTAAAATGGCCATAATTTGAAAAATTCAAGTCGAAATCAGCTCAAACTTTATATACACAGCATAAGTACATCAATATGTATTAGAAAATTTAATAAAAATTTGTTTGATTTTAGAGCCTTTTAAAAAAAGACCATGAGATACCGGTACGTTAGTAGTTCAGGGTATTTTTTCAGGATTTTGCCAATTTTAAAAAATGGCCTATTGACTACTGATGACAATGGTCCATTGTTTGAATATGTACATGTGATAGAAACATGTACATGTCAATCTTATCGAACTGCAACATGTCTTGCCAACTTTAGGCTAATTAATATTGGTGCCAGTAGAAGTGAATAGACTTCAGAGTGATAATAGTAATAACACTGTAGTATCACTACAGAATCTTTAAAAATTGCTTTGAGGCCATGGGCAATTTTTAGAATTTTGAAATTTTTATAATATTAGTGCCAGTAGAAGTGAATAGACTCTATAGAAGTGATGATAGTAATTAATACACCTCAGCTACAAACTGACACTGTACACCACTCAGTCCTATACCAGCTAGAGCACAGTGTACATACATGCATTGATTTAAAGGCTGCAGTAGCTAGACACCTTTTTCTACAAAATGTGACTCATTTGAACTCTCCTCAGTATGAAATGTACAACTTGAAGTACACATTGATCCATTGACAATGCATGTAGTAGGTAGATCTGTATCATACTGCAACATGTCTTGTCAACTTTAAGCTATTGTTGCCAGTACATGTGAATAGACTCATGAGTGTCTGTGTATGTGTTTAAATTTAAAAGTATCACAAATAAAGGTTGCATTAATAATCAATGAATGCAGTTTGTGTGTGTGTGCTATTGTTCTTGTTCATTGTTCACTAGTCCAAGCTCTTTCCTGAAGTATGCAGTGGTCTTTAGAATACCATCTCTTAGTGAGACCTAATAAAAATGATAATTATGAAATAATCAAAAGGAATATCACTATCATTGGTAATTACAAGTAATCTATGATGCTAATTGAAATCAGTGTTTAAAAGTATGGAAGCTCTAAATTGATGCCCTTATGTTATGTAGCAAGTTTGAGCTGATTCTGACTAATCAATTTTTCAAGTTATCATCAATCACCATCAATCATCATCATCATTATTATTATTACTTTTGGTTCCCATCCCAGCTGTGTCTTAGCAACAGTGATATCAGGTTTCCTCTTGTGTGGATCATCCTGTTGACTCTTCTTCATTGACACTTTCCCTTTAACTCCAGTTATATCTTGAACCAGTTGAGCAAACTCCAGTATAGTGTGCTCCTCTGGATTACCCTATCAATAAGACATTATACACTATACATGTAATACATTAATACATGTACATTATGATACTTAGTACTGTATAGCCGGAAAATTTGGCTGTCTAAAACTTGGCGTTTTACATCAAAACTGCCTAAATATAATAATGGTGGTCTCTTAATTTGATGATTTACTATCTTGTCTTTTCTTTAAGCTGCTCCTTACCCACAGTCTTGACTGAAATAGTGAGAAATACTGTCATTTTGGCATTTTTTTCAGTATCACGTGCTCATGATGGGATCTGCCCATCATTGAGATTATTATCGATGGTCATAATATTGGCAGTTTTATTTTGAACTACCAATCAGCCAAATTTTCTTACCCAAGCACATATATTATGAGGTAATATCAGTTAAAAATATTGATGACTGTTAAATTTGGAAAAATTGCATTTGGTGGATTCAATTCAATACTCAAGTGTCATTGAGTAGTATAACTACAGTACCGTATATCGGGTATATTTCAATGCATTAATAATTTCGGAAAAAGTAATCCATTGCGAAAATAAATATTATGAAATTTTAAAATATGCGAATAAAAAGGAATAGAAGATATGTGGTATTGTACAATTATTATGAACACGTGGCTTCATAACTATCCATGGCTTCATGGCTTCTAACTCAAAGGCCATAAAGAGCCTTCTTTGCCAGTTAGAAGTGTTGCTAAGGTTGATTCAGAAGTGGAGAAGTCAGCAAATGCTTCGATTGGCTTACCAGGCCAGGTGGTTGTAAAATATTTTCGGAATATAAAAGGCTTCCGAATTATTCCATCATTGAACTTAATATTTCCACGACTTTTCATGCATTGAAATATACCCGATATACAGTATACATTATTAATTAATAGCGTACCAGGTTACAGGGCAATGAATAATTACTGTTCATCAGTTTCATTAGTCCACTAACGAGGTCACTCACATACATGAACGATCGTGTTTGATTCCCTGGAGCATAGACTGTTAGTGGATGACCATTTAATGTTTGGACAATGAAATTACTAACCACACGACCTAAGGAAGAAAAACAAAATAAAGAATTCTCTCCCCCAGCAATTTAGAATAAGTATAAAAATATTCTTATAATTGCTTTCACCACATTGCATGTACAGCTGGCCGTGATGAATCATATTAAATTGATTTTTGTGAATTTTAATTTTGAAGGTTTTGAAAAAAAAATGCAAAATTCACAAAAATTTTGGGCCACGAATACGTGGTAACACAATAACAGTATCTCATATTGTAACAGCACACATACAGTATCTTACCATCATACATGTGCATCCTGGGGCCATAGGTATTGAATATCCTGGCCACTCGTACATCAATATGGTCTCTCTTAGAGTAGGCATACATGAGGGTCTCTGCTACTCTCTTGCTCTCATCGTAACAAGCTCTGGGACCAATCGTATTAACATGACCCCAATAGGTCTCCTTCTGGGGATGCTCCTAGTAATTAGCATCATGATTAATAGCATTATTATTATTATTATTATTATTATTATTATTATTATTATTATTATTATTAGTTACTTCAGGGTCTCCATATATTTCTGATGTTGATGCAAAGAGGACTCTAGCCTTTACTCTCTTAGCCAAACCTGGAGGAGAGAGAGGGAGAGGTAGTGACTTTTCATTTGGACAGTTACAGTTACCCTCTGCCCTGTACTATATATAGCCCATGGTTTTTTCCAAAAAATGGCTCCGAAATCACCCCAAATTTTTATTACATTTTCTGATACATATTGATGTACTTATGCTGTGTAGAAAGTTTGAGATGATTCCGACTCTAATTTTTCAAGTTATGGCCATTTTAAGAAAACTTCAAAATTTTAAAAAGTACCCAAGGCTATAGCCCATGGTTTTTTTCAAAAAATGGCTCCAAAATCACCCCAAATTTTTATTAAATTTTCTGATACATATTGATGTACTTATGCTGTGTAGAAAGTTTGAGATGATTCCGATAAATATTTTTCAAGTTACGGCCATTTCAAGAAAACGTCAAAATTCTGAAAAATA